GCTAGTTTCGAATATTCGAGGGTTGTTAAAACCTTAAATTCACTGGTCGATTATGCCTTCAAAGTCGTTCTCTCAAGATTCGAATCTTCGCCTCCGTTGTTGCAAAGTTCTCGCGGAACTCGAACTGCCTTGCTTATTATCTTTGCTGTCGTCTCGTCTTGGTGTGTAATTCTCTTCCTTACAACGGAGTAAGAATTCTAGAATAGATTTCTAAATCCCTGAAGAAAGACGATTGATGATGATCGTGAGTCCATAGACTCTCTTAATCCTTTCACTATTGAAGTGATCGCACATTAAAAAATATATAATACACTTTAATCATCGGGACGAGATTCTTGTATTTTTATTTCTTTTTCTACTCGACAGAGTGGGATATTTATACGATAAGAAATTATTGTAATAAAAGATCTTTCTTAATTGATCGCAACTCGGAAAAGACCGGCTATAGTTATAACTTTGTTAATCTCGTGAAAATTAAAGGATTTTTGTTTAGATATTTGTACAGATATAAAACAGTGTGTTTTTAGAAATTTAAATAGCTCTTCATAAAATGCATAAATATTAGATTGGGCTTATAATTATTACATTAAAATTATAATTATTAAATATTAGGGATACCTACAAGTAATGTTGTTTTTTTTTTAAATTTAATAAACATTGCCATCTAATGACGATAATTTGAAAAGAATAATTTAAATAAAATAAAATGTACAGTCAAAAAACAACATTACTTATTATTATTATTATTATAAAGATTTTCAATTTCTTTTACTTTAAGTCTCGGGTGAGAATTTCCTGCTTTACTTCGTCGGTAGGTTCAAGATAAGAAAAAGCAAGAAAGACTCCATTTCAAAACGGATTAACTTGGGAAATGATTCGATCATTGGGCAAGTTTTCAGCATGTAATGTCCAGTAGCCGGGGTGGACTATCGCTGCGTTAAAGATATCGGACGATCAGAAACGTCCAAAAGGTGTCCGATTGAGAAAGACGTTGCGACAAATTACGATGGAAAAACAGCTGTCAGTTCAGGGTAGTTGGTCGCATCGGAGAGAGTCCGCGGACGAAGATTGAAGAGGGACGCGATG